AAACTATCATATCATTCAAAACTCCTAAAAATAGATAGAAATATTAATATTTAAATAAAAAGAAACAATGTGTTGTAATAAAATAATGTAAATTAAAAATTAAAACCTTCATTTGGTTTGATGGTTTTGTATAAAATATTTTGTTTTACATTAAAACTKWTTTGTAAATCGCRAATTTCTTATTATATAATTTACCTCGTGCCAATCTTATATTTTAGTTTATTTTTTGATATAGAGTAAACAAATTCAGACTCAGTTTGAAAACACTCAACTGTTGAATTTGGGCTGAAGATAATGTCTCATATAAACTTTCTTTAAATTCATGGTCAATAATTAAATTAGGCAACCATTTTATTTCTTATTTTCATATCACTTATATTATTCTGTTCATAACGTTTAAGTATCATATTCCCCTCTTGGATTTCTTGAATCTATTTTGAATATTACCATTGTTACTTCCAGTCATTCTTGGTTGTATATGTATGAGATATAAATGGAGATATATATATATATATATACGTTAAAAATCTAATTATTAAAGTATACCTATTATTTAATTACCTGCATTAACATTAAAGAATTACAAAGAATTACAATAATTTATTACTTTGGAAGATTGTGGTGATGTCTGAACAGGATTATGGCAAGTATTTTCGGCATTATAATTTATACCCTCRAGAGGTTCAATTTCCATCTATGTTTATTTCATCTTGAGATACAAGTTCTAACACCTTTACACTTTAGTAATGGATACATAGAGGTTGATATAGGTAAGTACTACAGAAACAGTTGTAGATATAATTTGGATATTTAAAGAAAGTATTACTTATTTACTTACTGGAACTGATATACTACTTTAAAACAATTTAAATGTGTTTAATTGTTTAAACATTAAGTGACTAGATACCGATTTTTGGTATCAATACCTAGGTATCTTGATAATACCTACCTTCATTTAAATTGAACAATGCCTCTCATCTGTCTGCCCTTTCATCTATACATTTGTTTAAGCCAATTATAAATAGATGATTTGTAAAATATATGAATTTATATGAATTAAAAATTATAAATTAACAGTAAGTTATAAGTTTATAAATAGTATAAAACTGAGATCAGAGCTATGGTAAGGTTACCTACTAATATAATATGTAGATATGCATCATAGGTATATATATTATAAATTCTAAAAAAACTTTTCATTGTTTGTGTAGTGGTATTTTATTTTTCATAGTAGAATAGGTACTTAATTAATTTTAAATTTATAATAAATAGATAAAGTTGTCTATAATAACTAAAAACATACCTATTAATTTTTAATTTTGGTTGATAATAGAAGGTACCTAGTACAAATGCTGTACTAATATCTAATAAATGTTAATAGATTTATTGTGTATAATTAAATAAATATACATATATTAACAATCAATGTAATGATTTAAAGTAGTTATCTATTAATTAGGTAGGTAATATTAAGCTTTTACTATTTACTGCCAAAGACAAAATGTAGGAGCTATGTTAACTATTATTATAGTAATATGTAGGTACCACAAATGCTCATAAAAATCATAATATAAAAACATACATGTACAAAAT